CGAGCAGCTCAAAGTCCTCGCCAGCAGAGTCGGTGCTGCTGGGGGTGCGCTGAGGCACATCGGACTCATCGTCATCCAGAGGGACTTCAATCTCGAGGCTGGCAGGCTTCTTGGGGATCAGGCGGCCAGCCGTCAAGCTGAAAAGCCAGATAGGAGCGCGCACAACAGCGGTGTCAGCAATGGTCGGCTTGGCCAGCTCATTGGGCTAAATATCACATTAGCACTTGAGTCGCATATAGATATAGCAGAGCAGAAACTTACGTCAAGGAGGAATTCGTTCACGTTACCATCTTCATCCTCCTCCTCGAGGTACACATCACCCAGGGAGTCCACAACGAGGATCTTGCCATTCTCAGCAACGACCCTCTTTCGCGCACCAGAAGGCGCGGCGGCGGGAATCGAAGTATCCTTGGTTGAAGGTTGGGCCTTGCGGGCTTTCTTCCCGGCGGGCTTGGCGCCTTCGCGCTTTGTCTCCTTCTCCTGCATTCTCCTCTGTCTTCGGTTCATTGGCTGAGGGGGGCCCTCGTCGTCGTCAGAAGCGGGCGCGGGAGGCGGAGCGGGTGCGGGGGCGGCGTCGAGACCGGGCATGTTGAGACCTCCACCCCAGGCGGTGTCTCTGGCGAACTTGATGTAGCGCTGAACAAACTCCTGCTGGCGCTTCCAGCTCATGTACAGGGTCAGGTAGTGAACACCTCCTCCAAGAACAAGAAACAGGCCGGTGATGACCGTTCCTAAGCCAGGGCGGTATCGGTTGTAGTAGTAGTCAGTGCCTTTCCAGCGGGGGAAGCCATTGTTGAGGAAATGATCGTAGCGATCGCGCTCAGGGCCGCGGAGGATGTTGACAATGAGGGAGAGACGGGCTTGGGCCTCGCTGGCCTTCTTAACGGCAGTCTTGATCTGGGCAGGAGTGGGAGGCTTGATGTTGACGCCCGTCTTCTTCGCATCGGCCTTGAGCTTCTGCTTGACCTTGTCGGGGTGGAGGGAGCGTGTCATCTGGCGGTACGCCTTGGTGATATCATCCTGGGTGGCGGAGGCAGTGACGCCAAGGATGTCGTAGAACGTAGTGGAAGGGTCTGTCTCGAAAGCCATGATCTCATCTCGAATGCGGAAAATCTCGCGATCTGGTAACAGGTGTCATGTCAGCGATGTGGTTAAGGGAGCGACAATGCGCCGTTATGCTGGCAACGTCGACGAACCTTCTTTGCTCCATGCTGCCGCCAGGGGGGTCAGCAGGGCGAGGAGCCCAACGGAAAGGTACGAGATCTTCATCTCTGCATCCTATGTCGAACGGCGCTAGATGTTGGTTCTGAACGAGGCCGTTGGTAGCTGGTAGCTGGGTGCTAGATCTTGCGACGGCAACGACAAGAGAAGCGTCCAGGCCTATATAACCAGATACCAGAGATGGATCCTCAACTGCAGAGCAATGGTTCAAGGCAAGAAGGGCCAATGCAATGCGAGAAAGGAAGAGGGACAAGAAGATGTCGATCCGCGCCTGGCAGGGTTGGGGGAGAAAAAACAGGACGGATTTGCGACGTGAATGTCGTGGCCACTTTGAAAGACCCCTTGCGTTGTACTAAATAGTCAGCCTTTTATGCTTTAGTCTATGCCAGGGGGTTACCGTGTTGGGTACATGCGCCTTCCAGGTTGAGGTACCCAATCTAAAGAAGGACAACGTGGGGCTTTTTCGTTTTGTGGGGAGCTACCCTGGAGCTTGACCAGCCACAAACGGGCTCAGCCACCCGAGTAAATCGCTAGGACAATGAAGGCCTCAATTCTTTCGAGCCATCTTCAAACAATACAGCAAAAACCTAAGAACACCAAGTCAATTCATCTCCCCAAGCCCGAAAACCCGATCCAGGACCCCTCTTACCTCGCCTCGCGCTATCTATGGACTTCGCGTTTATTTCCGCGATCTCTTCTGTCGCCTTTTGTAAGCATTCACGGGCGTGGTGTTGCATGGCATCAAAATAACAGTTGGCTCCAATGAGGGCTGTTGCATCAACTACGAACATCAATTTGCCAACTCTTCTCCATCATCAAAATGCCACCCAGAAATGCAATCCATCGGCAGAAACATCATCTGCCAAAGCAAAACTCTGTCAGAGCTATTGAAACTCTCAAACGCCAAACAGCCTCAGCCTCGACGCATGTGATTGTTCCAACGTGATCCATCAACCCCCTTGCCTTGCCTTGCCTTGCCCTCCAAGTCAACCTTGCCTGTGATGTGATCTATCATGAATCCACCCACCCGATCATCGACTGAGACTCTTGGCAACTGGTTTTTGAAGCTCTAAAGGCTGTGATTGCTTGAAGTGTCTGTTGCTGGCGCAAGTCTAGACCACTAGCGTGAATCCAGTTTCTCAGCTTCCGCCACCTATGGTAACTTAGGAATTCGGAATGGGAGCCTTGTTTAACGGGCCCAATGATAACGAGCTAGACTGAGGTGTTGCCAATTAAACAGCTGCCGCGTTGAAAAAGGGGCTCACTGAGACAATGGGAAGCCATTAAGGTGCGGTCACAATAGACTTGTCCCATGCGATGCATCAAGGTCACCAGGGCTGTCTGCCCGCCCCGGTGACCACTGCCACACAACTGAATGCTACCCTCAGCAATGTGAGCTGAAAAAATGCGGATGTGGTGGCTCGGAGGCAGCTGAATAAATGTCTCTTCTGAATCACATTTGTCATTGTGAGGCGTTCGGTCTCAGCCTGGTTGAGCTTGTTGCTCTGTCTCCAGGCGCTGCTGGTGACAGCTGAGCGCCACCACCCATCCTATATCCACCACAGTGAGTGATTTGTCGCTTTCTTGTCTTATTCAAGCGTACCGGTAGCTGATGTCTCTCCGTCTATAAGAACCGTGCCCATTCTCCAAAGAGGGATCGCCGCCCTCATCTTCATTAAACAACCCGCCTTTGCACACTCAACACTTTTATCAGACCATCCAAATCAATCATGGACGCCCAGCCAGTCATCGCCTTCAAACCAATCACGGAAGTCAAGCCAGTCATCGACACCGAAGCCACAATGGAGGCCGAAGCAACCCTTGCTATTGAGGGAATCACGGACGACAACCAAAGCATGAGCGCCCAAGCAACCGAGGATGTCGAGACAACCTTTGACACTGAAGATAGCACGGACGATGAGGATCACCTCGAGGCAGAAGATCATCTCGACGCAGAAGATCACCTCGACGCAGCTCAACTTGCTGCTGCTCCTGCCAAGTACCCATGGAACGGCGAAAATCTCTTTGCCAACCCTCGCTGGGCCGAAAAGTTGGAACCGACATACATTGCATTCAAGTCGCGGGGAGATGATAAGAACGCAACCAAGGTCAGAACTCTTCAAAAAACTGGCACCTTTGTCTGGATCTCCCACACAAACAATCTACCGGACCTCGACCAAGCCATCAAATCCGCTCTCGCCAAGCAGAATTCTACAGGAATCAAGCAGATGGTCGGGTTGGTCATATACGACATACCAGGTAGGGACTACAGCGGGGGGCTGAGCCGTGGGGAGTTTCAACCTACCAAGAAGGGCTTGAAGGGATACAAAGACACGTATATCAAGCCTCTTGCTAAGAAGGTCAAAGCGGCCACCGCTTTGCACTTTGCCATCATCGTGGAACCAGATGTCATGGGAAATCTCATCACTCAAAAGGACCCAGAGTTCGTCCAGAAAGTTGCCCCTTTCTATGAAAGGGGCACTGCTTTTGCCATCATGTCGCTGCAGGCTCGCAATGTCAGACTCTACATTGATGTCGCCAACGGTGGATGGCTTGGATGGGACTCAACTCTTAAACCCAGTAAGCATTCGTCCCCGACATCCAAAGTCCTCGATTTTAACCCGTTCCAGCTGCCATTAAATTAGCACAGATCCTGCGTAGGGCCCAGAAAGCTGCGAAGAAACCTGTGAAGATCAGGGGTTTCTCAACGAACGTGTCCAATTTCAACCCGTTCAATGCCAACCCACGCGAACCCTACACTCAGAACTCCAATTCGTGGGACGAATCCCATTACATAGAGTCGCTTGTGCCTCATCTCCGAAATGCAAAGCTGCCAGTGCGATTCATCGTCGACCAGAGCCGCGTTGCCCTCCCAGGAGCAAGACGAGAGTGGAAAGAATTTGCCAATGTCTACCCTGCCAAATTCGGGATGCGCCCAGGAACTGCCGTCGATAATGAATTTGTTGACAGCATTGTCTGGGTCAAACCCCCTGGCGAGAGCGATGGGACCGGCGCAGGCACAGAGAGGGGATACATGTATCCAAATGCCCCGCCGGCTGGAGTCTGGTTTCCCCAGTATGTCGAGATGATGGTGAATAGCAGCAATTTCTAGGAGAACTTAAAGTAGAGAAGAGATGATCGGCCGCTGTACATTAGGAATTGATTGTTTGCCTTAATAAGAAACCCCAATCCCATATTGTGTGGCGTAGCAAAGGGAGTTCTGGGGCGAATAATATCGAGCTTGACGAGGAAGATCAAAGCGACGCTGTCCAAGGCATCAAGCAACCCATTTCCCACATGTTGAAGCAAAACCCTGGTGAGTCGCACTACCAACTGAGGTCAGACGTTAGGACTACGCACACAAACGGGTCAAAGAGAATGGACATATTAACGCCTATGTCGGGAAGCAGACCTCAGGCGCAGGTGACAATCAAGGGTGTGTTGCAAAGGATGACTGTTCTTGAGTTAGAGAACTCTGGGCCCGATACAAACTGTACAAAGCGGTCCCCAAACCATGACAAATGAATGCTAACGTTCACCACTACCAGTTGAGTATCACGACGACGATTGAGGGTTGCTTGCAGCTTGGAAGAGCAGAAGACTGAGTTAGCTAAATGGAACACCAGAAAGACATTAAAGTCTAGGCTTTGGTCTATTCAGGTTTGGAAGAAAGTGAGAGGGTATACGGACACCTTCAACGTCAACTAAGGCTGTATCTGGATGAGGTGATGGCTGGGGCACATAGATGTAATTAGCAGCCAAGTTTTTCAACGCACTAAAGCAATTTGGCGCAGTGGAAGCGCGGTATGTAAAAGTCATCATCGCACCAAGCCAATCACCAACTAACTCATCCAAGCCGGGCTCATAACCCGGAGGTCGCACGATCGAAACGTGCAATTGCTAAGCACATCCGGTTCTTCGGAACAGATCTTTTTTTTGTTTGCCACATTTTTGGGTTTTCTTGCTTCAAATGAGCTCTTTTCCATCGGTTAAGCAAGTGCTCGACGATGGGGGAGAGGGGCTCTCCTGGTGTTACAAGTTTGGGTGCGGAGGATGACTCACTCATTTTTTGTCATACGAGACATTCATTGCGAGCTCAACATCGGGCAGCTAGGAGACTTAGCACAGCTACCCCACTAACAAAAATAAATGGAGGGGCAGCGGGGGGGCACACAAAAAATGAAATCCTCTGTCGAGGAACATACCATAGTACTTAGCAATTGCACGTTTCGATCGTGCGACCTCCGGGTTATGAGCCCGGCTTGGATGAGTTAGTGATGAGTTCGATATCTTTTAAGTAGATTATAATAACATACCGCGCTTCCACTGCGCCAAAGTGCTTTAGGGCTGATGGGGTCAGTGTGCGAATATTGCCATTCTCGTGGCTTGGAGGGGGCAGAATGTTGGAGGGGCATGTCTAGTAGGTAGGATGGTGAACTCTCAAAGTTTAGATATCAATTAATGCACCATCGAATATTAGCATTCTACCATTGTTAAGATACTACAACTTTAGTAAAAGTACTTTATCACAACTTTACATGCTTGCATCTCAAATACGGATTGCGCTGGAAGCTCAGGTTGGAAGTCGCAGGTGGTGCATTATAGTTGCGGTTATCTACGGATGGGTTTAATGACCACACCTCCAGGCATCGATCACCACTGGCTGGCGGCAAGCATGGCCTCTACAAGTGTGTACAACTCACCACTTGACTGTAGACAAGTAAACAATCCGATGGCTTGGGCTAAACCGCTCTTTGATGCGAGTATCAAGCAAAGTTCTTTTTACTGGAAAAATGACAGTTATGTAACTATTGCGACAAGGCTAGGAATCTGGCTAACAGCATTATTCAGTCATGAGACTACCTATCTACAGAGCACAATATCCTCATTTAACTCATACGTATCCTTCCCACTCAAAGCTTCATCTGTCAAAGGGTAGCAGTAAGTCTTCTTCAGCTTTTACTACATTAAGTGAAAAGCGGAGCAAAAAAGAGGCACCTCGATGAGGTGTAGTGCTTAGCAATTGCACGTTTCGATCGTGCGACCTCCGGGTTATGAGCCCGGCTGGGACGAGTTAGATTTCGAACCGATGATCCAATAATTAGAGATGTAGACATACCGCGCTTCCACTGCGCCAAATTGCTTTGTTGGATGGGCTTTCTGTCGCCAAAGCTCTGTTATCAACGGGCGCGCAATGCCCTAGCCCTTCGCAGAGACTGAGCCCCGTTCTGTGTGGGGTGCCTGGGTTTTGCGGCTCACACGATTAACAACCTCGTTTACTACGCTAACTGCTGGTCAGTGAGTCACACATTCATGCGTCACTTATGCGATATATTACAGGGAAAATGACGTTGGCGTACTGCGAGTCGGGGAGGCAGCGTGCTCTTACGGAGATGGCGTCACTCCATCGATATAACCAGATGGCCAGCTGCCCTCTGTGGAGTTGATTGCACTTAGATGCGATTTCTCTTGTTCTGTCATTACAAAAGCCACCGCCGCCGATTTCTACAGCCTCATCAATACCGGCGTTAGATTAGAACCGTTGCAGTCGCAGTTGCCGTGGGTCCCAATGACGGGTTGACTAATACCTTTCGCGACGTCTGAGAATAGCCACATTGCCGCCACCAGTCCAGTATGTCTTGAATGGGTGACCTACCCTAAACCTCTGATTTCGCAGTCGGGACAACGCTGCAGCTTTCGGTCTTGTCCTTTGACAACTCCGTTACTCTGAGGCATAATAATTGGTCATCGCTGTAATGTACGCGGTGTTCATTCACTCGTGGATTTGCCAGTAATGCGTTGTGGGTTGTCGCTGAGTTGCTTCACATCCTATGCAGTCACTGGTGCAGCATGCTAGATAAGAGGGCGCCGAAACACTATGTCCACCGATCGTTCAAGAATGGTAATTCCGACCACGTAGAGCATGGAGTTTCCGATTTACTAATTGCCCTGAGAGAAAGGGATCAATGCCAACCAATCGGACTTTATAATGGCCAGGTGACATCAACGCGAAGCATTACCCGTGACACTATCAATATGGCTCTCAATATTTGCCCGAATTTCCATCTCACTAGTCACTTTGGCGGAGTGGTTAACGCGCAGCCCTGCTATGTTGCATATAAGGCTGTGACTTCGGTCGCGTAGGTTCGAATCCTGCAGGTGACGGTCTCCTTTTTTTTTTTGCCGTCTCTTTTTGCACTTCAACTCATTCTCTTGCCACCGTGTCCTTGGACCCTTCTATCTCGCTCGCTTCAATCATCAGTCACTTTGGCGGAGTGGTTAACGCGCAGCCCTGCTATGCTGCATATAAGGCTGTGACTTCGGTCGCGTAGGTTCGAATCCTGCAGGTGACGGTTATTTTTTTGCCTTGCTTCGTCTTGTTTCTCTCCAGGCTGCCAACGTCCGTATAACCTACCAACTCTTGATTACTCCCACAACCAGTCACTTTGGCGGAGTGGTTAACGCGCAGCCCTGCTATCATTGCATCTTAAGGCTGTGACTTCGGTCGCGTAGGTTCGAATCCTGCAGGTGACGAATCCTTTTTGTCTAGCGATCTTTTTGGTGTATGCATTTCTTAATTCGGGCATATACGTTGTGAGCTGCCCCGTATGTCAGCTAGCACTACATGTTCCCGCTAACCCACAACCTAGGTGAGAGAGGGGCAAGCAGCTAGTTCTGTTTCTACTGAAATCGGTCGTTGTCGCTGTCCTGCACAACTCGCAACGCTGGAACTTGATGAACAACGGCCATGGAAGAATATTAAGAGAGGACTACAAGGACCAACACTTCAGGCACACTATATTGTCTCCCAGGCTGTCTGGCTAATGGGATGAGAGCGGGGCGCTGCAAAGGTTGGTAAGTTCAACTGAGGGGTAGAATGAATTGGGAATCGCAAACCTAGGTAGGTAGTGGAAGTGACAACAGGGCCGCAACGCCCGCGTGCCTAAAACATGACCAAATGAGTTAGTCAGCTATCTCTTGATCTGCGCAGACGTGTATCATGCATATACATTCATTTCCACTTGTGAGCAAGTGTTAATGCATCATCTCAGAGTATCTCAAGTGCCATCTAACTCATGGGTGTGCCTTTTGGATGCTCGAGAAGGCCGATTCAACTGGCGTACTCGCAGACGTCATGGCGAAGTTGTCAATGTGTCTAGGCCACTGATCGCTCGTTATTTCGAAGTCCGAGCAGACAATCCATGTATTCGTTTCGTGAACCCAAATTTTGTGATGGGTCCTGGCACTAAGGCTCCAAAGGTCCCTTGATAACATTCCTTCTACTGCAGGGAAAATGAGTGAAATTGAGCCATTCAGTTTCGATGCAGTTTCCTGTTCTTGTATTCGGTTATGATTCACGTGCTGCTGCAAGGAGAACCTGATTCACATCGAAGTCGTCAATAGTGACGGCTATATAACCTCAACTGGAACGAAGTTCTGACATCGCAAACTGTCACTTTGGCGGAGTGGTTAACGCGCAGCCCTGCTAAGGCTGTGACTTCGGTCGCGTAGGTTCGAATCCTGCAGGTGACGTTTCTTTTTGCCCTTTGAGCATGTTGAAAAGTCAATTCCTTTTGCCTACGTTTTCAACTGCCGTTCAACCGTGCAGCTGCCGTGGAACTCGTGCATATGGTCTGATATGCCATGATGCTTCATTGGTCATGAGTACACCACGGTAGAGGATCTGCACTGCACAGTTCAGAATACAGAGATTCTAGCACTGTACGTACGAGGCGCAGTTGGCGCTAATTACTCCCGGACGGTTCTTCTTGGCTTGATGCAGGGGAAATGGAACGAACCCCTCCAGCCACTCGAATTTACGGTGAGGAACCTCAGGGTCGTGGGCGGCTCCATCACCTAATGCTGGTGCTTGGCCGGTGCTTTGATCCTCCGAGAACTGACTTGCATCTGGCTATTTTCTGCATACTGCATCCCATTGCAAACGGGTCTTCTCTCTGTCTCTCTCGCCACGCCGATAAAGACGGGAGGGGGGCTGAATTTTACTCAATCAGTTGCGCGCCTGCACTCGCACAACTGATTTTGCAGCGTCTTGCTTTGGGTTTCGTGACTGTCGTGAATTGATTGATGAATCGTTCCGTCGCTCTCAATCATCCCCAGCCTCGTCTCACTCCACCAACAGGACGACTCGCTCTCTTACTTCTTACTTCTTACTTCGTGGAAAAACCCCAGCCGCAACCATGGGTTTCCTCGACTCGTTCAACGACGGCGGCTCTATCATCTCTGGTCGCTCCTCTCGCCACAAGAAGTCGTCGTCGTCCAAGCACAAGAAGCGCCGTTCGGGATCTCGTTCGCGATCGCGCTCCAGGTCCAGCTCCCGCAATCGTCGCAGCAGCGGCCGCTCCATCGCCGGCTCCATCTTCGGCGGCGACCGTCATCATGACAAGCACAGTGCGTCCCGCGGTTCCTTCTTCGGGCTCGGAGGCAACAACAGCCGCTCCAGCTTCTTTGGTTCCAGTATGTGTTCCTCCTTCTCTCCTCTCCCAAGAATCACCCCTTAAACACGCATCACACAAATAAACACGATGCCGCGAGCTTCACAAGTCAAAAACCACCCCTCAGTTGCGACAAACTGCTAACAACATCCCCTCCACCTCCACAGACCGTTCCTCTTACTACAAGCGATCCCCCCGCCAGGGCTTCATCCAAAAGTCCGTCAAGCAAGTGAAGCGTCTCTTCCGCGACCTGGTCCATTGGGCCAAGCGCCACCCCTGGAAGGTCTTCTTCATGGTCATCATGCCCCTCATCACCGGCGGCTTCTTGACTGCGTTGCTCGCCCGTTTCGGCCTGCGCATCCCGCCTTCCATCGAGCGCATGATGAGCACCGCCTCCAAGGCCGCCTCGGGCAACTCCGCCGGTCTCGTCGGTGACGCCGTCCGCATGGCTTCCGGCGGTTTTGGCGGCGGCTCCTCCTCCTCCAGCCGCGACGGAGGCTTCGGCATTGGTGGTGGCAGCAATAACGGCTGGGGCGGCGGTGGCTTGGCCGACATGGCCAAGAAGTTCATGTAACGAAACAAATGCAAAGCACAGCTAGCGTGTGTGGCAAGCAAAAGACTTCGGTTTAGGAACAAGACATGATTGGAAAGTGTGCGGGCGTTATGGATGGCATTGTTGTTACCTTGTTTCTCTCGCCCTGGGCTTCCTTTGCGCGTAGCCCTCGTTGAGCCTCTTGCTTACTTAACCAACTGATGGATGTATTCTCTTCTTGGTTTCGCACGACGACAGACAGATCAGGTAGATATATAGTTGAACCTGCACAGAATTGATGATTGATGAATTAGATTGCGAGTGACCCAACTCCTATCAACATGACACGTGACAATAGACACCCACCATGTGCTTGTGGCTGTGAGCCTCGTTTCAGCAAGATGTTCATTAATAGTTCTGTATCAACCACCCTTGCCATTCAAATGCCTAATCTACTCTACCCGGCTATCCCCAAAACAACCACCGACAAGGGCTTATCATCCAATCTCCACCCCTTCTTGCCCTGCGTCCAGAGAGACCGACTTCTCCCTGCCCGCGAACCCCGACTCAACCGTAGACCACTGCTACTTACTGACCAGGGAGCCAGGGCTCGCTCGTGCCAAGTACCAAATGCTGTTCATGCTATCATTAAAAATCGCTGCGCCCTGTGCCTTTACTGAGTAATAGAACCTTTCGTCGTGGCGTGGTGCAGATCTGTCTGCCACGTGCCTTCAGACAAGGTTGGTACGCTCGAGACTAGGCAAACCGTCGACGTGCAAGACGATGTTGGTCGGTAGCGCTAGATCTTTTGCGGCCGGAATTGTGAAAAATGTGATGTACATAATATCCATATACAATCGTAATGACATGGTCTTGGAAAACAACCAATGCCTACTGTGTTGTGCGCTCCGAGACTCCGTGGTACTGCTCTAGTTGGATGTGCTCTCCTTGTGATGAGGTTTCCAAAATTGCACCATGCGGCTCAGTCGCTTTGCCCGGCTGCTCTTGGACTTCTTGGAGTTAGGCTCGTTGTCCAAAGTCACTTCCATCGAGAGCTTGCTGCGCTCCCCATGCGAGCTGCTAATCAGTCGGCTGAGGCTGGCGAGACTGGATCGTCGCCGTCCAAAGGCTGTAGATGAAACCGAAACTGGTCGCAGCT